GCCCAGGGCTCGGCTCTGGCAGCAGCCCTGGAAGGGCAAATCCAGCTCCAGCTTCATCAGCTCCCTCAGCACTTGTCAAATCAAGGGCTCTGGTTGGAGCCTCAAAGGCTGGGAGGCTCTGCAGCCGCCAGGAAAGGGAGCTCAGGGAATTGCAGGAGCTGGGATTGCAGGAGATGGAGTTGATGTCTTCTCTGAGGGGGAAATCTGGTGTCAGAGAGGAACAAGGTGATACAACACGACTCAGGGAGCCTGAATCCCCAAGAGGGCAGAGCTGGTGCCTCGGTATCTGCCACTGAACAGAATCCCCAGGGCCTTCGGTCCCAGGAAAACAGAGCTCATTCCTCACCAGGGATCAAACAGCTCCATCCACCCACAGGAAATCAGGGAATGGCAGATCAGCTCTGGCCTTCCCCACATCCCCTTGGAGCCCAGTGCCTCTGTCTGGATTTTTCTTTGAGGAATGGATTTAATGTGGAGTAAATCAAATGGAACCTTTACTGTAAATGCAGGCATTTGTTTCTTGGAGTCTCAGGGGTTCCATTACTTATCCTGAACCCCATGGCCAAGCTGGAAAGGAATTAGCTTCCAAGGGAAAAGGAGCAAGTCACAGAGAGATGCAGGGTGGGTTTCAGACACAACAGAAGAAAGGAACTTAATTCAGGATTTAGGATCACAGGTGATCAGAGTTTTGCCAGCTGTAATGCCTCTGGACATCTCAGGCCACCAGGCAAGCTGGGACAAGGACAGGCTGTTTCTGCAGGATGGCAGTGCCCAGCCTGGGCTCAATCCTCCCCTGCTCATGTTCCTCCCACCCCCAAACACACCATGGCTCTTCCTGCCAGGAGTCCTGGAGCTCCTCTCCAGCCCAGCCCAGAGTCTGGGGCAGCAAAACTCCTTTTCCAGATTCCTCTTTTCTCCTGAGCAGTGCTGAGGTGGAACTGAGCCACACAAGTGCCCCGTGGTCCTTCACCTTCTGCTTTGCTCCATCAGGGGCTGGAGGTACAAGGAGGGTTCTGGTGGCACTGGACTCCTGCCAGAGAGTGCCTGGAGCTCCTGGGAAGAGCTGCCAGAGAATCCATGCTGGATGCAGGCAGCAGTTCTGGGAATGCAGAGCTGTGGTTGCTGGCAAAGGCTCGGCTCCAGCTGAAGCTCCTGGGAATTGCTGCCTCTGCCTCAGGTGAGATTTGGTGTTAGGAACCAAAGTGAGTCCAAAACAAACCTTTGGAAAAGGGAACAGCATGGATGAAAACCTGGAAAAGTAGGAGACCAGCACAGTTCTCCAAGTTCAGACATTTCTGGGAGAAAGGCAGGGAGCAGAGACTGGGAGAGCTGTGGCTGCCCCTGGATCCCTGGCAGTGTCCCAGGCCAGGCTGGATGAGGCTTGGAGCAGCCTGGGACAGTGACAGGTGTCCCTGCCCATGGCAGGGGTGGCACTGGGTGAGATTTAAGGTCCCTTGTTATTTCTGTCACCTCAGGAAAGGGGGGAAGGACAAGGGGAGCTCTCCCCCACCACAGGGAGCATAGAGCCCAGCCCCTGAGGGAAACAAACCCTGAACCCAAGGAGAGCACAGCACATCCCAAAAACAACCACAGAAACGCGAGGTCAATGAGCCAAGTATCTGGAAACAAGCAGGAGCAGCTCCACGTGACCTCCTGGGGCACGTCCCTCTTCAGACAAGTGTTTGTTGTGCAGTCGCGAATGGCGGCGCCCAGAAACTTCGAATCCAAACTTCCCATTTCCTGATCCAAGATGCTGCAGAAGGGAGTTGAGAGCTGGCTGCTTGGATGAAATCCCTCCCCAGAAGCAGGCCATGGGTTTGACATGGAGCCTGGGAACAGAGCACACGGCTTATGGCTGGAATGGCTCTGTTTCTGCTCTTCCCTGCCTGTCCAAGTGAGAGAATTCCTTTTACGTTCATCTGTCCTCATGGAAGCCTGGAAGAGGAGAAGAGATAAATGATTATAAATGATTAACCTCATCTAAATATAATTCCTTCATTCTGAGAGCCTTTGTGACACACTCCCTTGGGAAATACTCCCAACTGAAATGGAATTTGCTCCGTTCCTCACAGATCTCCCATTGCTCTTGTGAAACACGCGAGGCATTAAAAGTCAGCAGTAACAATGTCAGTAATGGTGTCCTGGTGAGCTTGGAAATGCAGGCAGGCAGGGAAATACTGGGAAAAACCCACCCTAAGGGGTAAACTTTCCTTCCCAAATCCTGCAGCTGCCCTGGATAAAGATCCATCAGGGTGGGATGTGTGTGAAAAATGGGGTTTTCAAGAGAAGAAAAGTGCATTTTCAGTCGTGTTTAAAGAGTTAGAAATGATGGCTGAAAACGTGGGGGGAAACACCTTTCGATTCCTGCCCTGCCCCAGCATTCCAGAGCCAGCTGGTGGAACACTGTGGGACACAGGGTGGGATTGCTGAGGTGTCTGTGCAGGGCCAGCAGCCTGACTGGATGATCCCTGTGGGTCCCTGCAACTCTGGATATTCCATGATTCTGTCGGGCTGCCAGGGTGGGAGCCATGGCTCCAACTCCATTTCCCAACATCCTTTAGAAAGACAGGAGAGAATCAATATTTTCCTACTGATTAGATGATAAAAGGGAGATGATAAAAGGGAGGAATAAAAATTGCATTTGTCAGTCAGCTACTGCACACTGCAGCAGATAAAATAATTACAGAGCACTCCTGGGGCTCAGGCTCATTCCAGTGATTCATGGGGATGTTGGGAAGCTGTGCTGGGATTGAAGGGCATCTGGAGTTTGTGCCTTGGAGTCCACTCAATCCATAACCATGTGGGATGGGAGCTGTGACTCCCAGCCCTGCTCGGCCCTGCAGCAGCAGCACCCCAACACAGAGTGCCAAAGCCCCCAGAGTGGCCCTGCACTGGGAATTGTGAGCTCAGCATTCCTGGATGCCCAGCTCCTCTCCTGCTGACACAGAGGAGTGCAGTGACAGAACTTTCCTGTAAATGAAAGCTGGAGTTTCTTAGAACTCTTCTGACTAATGTGGCTCGGTCTTGGCTGGAGGACACAAACCCTTCATCAAACACAGTGAGAAATGCCAGAGAATGCTCAAATCCAGGGAATGTGAGGCTGGGAGGGAGCAGGCTGACCCTAGCACTCAGAATGCTGGGGCTGGGAGCCAGGTCCAGCCTGGAGCTTAGCTGGGCTGGATACAAGGCTTAATGCTGGTCCTTTGTTTCCCAAGGATAAAGGTATCCTCAGCCAAGACGAGGGATTTGGGGATCAGCATGGAAATGGAATTGCCCTGGAAGTGCAGTGAATCTGAACCCAATCTAAAACATCAAATGCAAGGAAAAAACACATCCTGTGGGTTTCAGAAAGATGGAATATGGGAAATACAACCCAGACCTGGGATCAGCCCACAGCAGGGGCACAGGGTGGCTCCAGGGAAGCCATGCAGCAGGAGACACTGAAACATCCCCGAGGATTCTCTCCTGCTCAGAGGGATGGAATCACGGAATATCCCGAGCTGGATCCCACAGGGATCCTCCAGCCCAAGGCCTGGCCCTGCACAGACACCCCAATGCTGCCACCCTGTGCCTGAGCAGTGTCCAAGCAGTCCCGCAGCTCTGGCAGGGCTGGCAACGTGGGATAAACTCTGGACAAGCAGTGGATGAGGAGGTCACTGCACTCTCCCACAAGCTCCCTGAAAAGAGACCAGGTCCTGGCAGGTCCCAGCTCAGAGCCAGCCTCAGGCTGATCTCCCAGGGCTCAAGAAAATCATGGAGCAAGTCACTGAGAATGTCCCTGCTGGCAGAGGTATCTGTCCTGCCCCAGGTAAATGGGATAAGGAAATGCAGGGCAGCACGAGGCTGAGGAAGCACAGCAGCTTTCCTTCCATGGGAGACGTTCCTGTGACACAAAGCAGACCCTGCTGCTCCCCACAGGGAGACCAGGCAGCAGCTCCAGGGCACAGCAGGGGCTGGGCTGCCTGGAAAATCATCTGGAGCTGAGGGTCTGCCCATGGAGGGGCTCTAGGAGCTGACCTGGTGTAAGCAGGAGCCCCCCTCTGCAGGGACAAGGGAAAAGGGGCAATGGCTTCACAGGGACACAGGGCAGGGCTGGATGGGACACTGGGCAGGAATTGCCCCTGGCAGGGTGGGCAGCCCTGGCACAGGTGCCCAGAGCAGCTGTGGCTGCCCCTGGATCCCTGGCAGTGCCCAAGGCCAGGCTGGGCACTGGGGCAGGAGCACCTGGGACAGTGGGAGGTGTCCCTGCCAGGGCAGGGGTGGCACTGGGGGGGCTCTGAGCTCCATTCCAACCCAGCCCAGTCTGGGATGCTGTGGGATGAGGAGGGCTGGCTGGGAACACCTTCACTTGGCTTTTGGCACGATTTAATCCCTCTGTGCAGTGAAGGTTATTCTGGGTGTGGCCAATAGAGAATTGGCCTGCCTCAGCTCCAGCCTCAGCTCCATCCCCTGCTCAGCTCCAGCCTCTCCTCAGCTCCATTCCCCTCCTGCCTTCCCACAGGAAAATCCCAACAGCTCCAGGGTCACTCCATCCCCTGATTTTGAACACAAGCTGCACGTGCACATGGGAATATAAGCAAGGAAAGGGAAAGCAGATTTTAATTAAAAGAATTCCAATCATTCCCACAGCACATGATTTTTTCAAATGACAAAGATTCCTCTTCAGAAAGTTATTATTTGCCAGATGTTGGATTTCACTTCATCTTCAATGTTGCATCAAGAGAAGGAAAAACAGCAAGAGAAGGAAAAGCTTTTAAGCAAATCTGACACCTAATTAAAATAAATCTGAGGTCAATCAAGTTTTTGAGCTGAGCTGATGGGTGAGCAGGGAATGACCTGAGAGCAGTAAGAGGAAGCAGCCCCAGTGCCCCAAACCCTGCAGCAGCAGGAGGAGCACTGAGCTCTGCTGGCAAAGCAAAGGCAAAGCAAGAGTGGTTTGGTTTTCCGTGTCCTCGTCCACAGCCATGTCCAGTTCCAAGGTCCTTTTTGATCCTCCAGGTTTATTCAAACTGCAGGAAGGAAAGGGAGGGATCATTGTGCTCTGCCCCTCTATCAACCACACATTTTTATTTCCTTTGCATAAATTAAAGTCACATTTTAGCATTTGATTTGCCTGAATCCATGGGAACTGTGCCTGGCACACCCCAACTGCCCCTGAATCCATGGGGACTGTGCCTGGGCAGGGCTGCCAACAGGGAAACTTTCCCTCCACAGCCCAGGGTCCCTCAGGGAGCAGCTGAGGGCTCAGCCCCTGGGAAAGGCTGCCAGCTGGGGATGATTTTTGGAAGGGAACCCCCCACTCACCGCAGCCTTCAGGGCCTGTTTTAAGTCTTGGACCAAATCCGTCGCATCCTCCAGCCCCACCGAGAGGCGGATCAAGGTGTCTGTGATTTTCAGCTCTTCCTTGGTCTTAGCATCCATCTGGCCGTGGGTCATGGTGTACCTGCAAGGACAAAAAACATCTTTATCCCAAGAATTTGGGACTTGCATTGGTACAAGCAGCCTGGGGGTGGAGCGTTATGGATTCATGGACAGAGAGCTCACAGAATCAGGGAATATCCTGAGTTGGAAGCACCCACAGGGATCACTGATCCATACCCAGACCCTGCACAGACACCCCAGCAATCCCACCCTGGGCATCCCTGGCAGAGCTGTCCAAACCCTCCTGGAGCTCCGGCAGCCTCGGGGCTGGGACCTCTTCAAGGACATTGAGGAAAATGGAAAGTTTAGGGACTTTTTATCCCCTGGCTTTTCTATAATAGCTTTCATATTATAAACTGTATTAGCTGTAATTAGGGAATAAAGTGCACATCTGGCAGGTAAGAGCAAAGATTGAAAACAGACTCATCCTGTCCCTGGATCCCAGGGAGTGTCCTTGGTTGGATGGGTCCTTGGTTGACCCCAGCCAAGCATTCCCAGAGCCAGGGGCTCCCTCTGTGCCCCACGAGGCAGGGCCTCCCTCCGTGCCTTTCCCTGCTGAGGGCACTTTGCAATATTCCAGCAGAGCTGCTCCAGCCCCAGCTGCCCAGCCCTGCACAAAGCCCTTTGCCAGCAGCAGCTCCTGGGCTGGGCTGGTCTGGGCTGGACTCGCCTCTCCCTGGGAGCAAACACTTCCAAGGAACTGAGGGGTCCCTTTGTGCCCTCTCATCAACGCCCATGGTCAAATTATCCGTGATTTAAAGAGGGGCACACCCAAAGGACTTGGCAAGAAAAGCCACTCCACCCTCCCCTCAGCAGGGCAGAGTCAGCTCCCTCTGAGGGTGATTTTGTTGACTTCATTTTACCTTCAAGTTCTTGAGAAAGGCAATGGCATTTTCTTTTTTCCCACTGATGTGGAAGCTGACCATCCCAGAAACGCCCGTGCACTGCTTCTTCACCACCTTGTACTGTGGGTGGGAAGACAGCCCTGGAATGGAGAGAGTTGGGAGAATTCCCAGTGAATTCCATTTGGGATGTTCAGTAATTTCTTTTTCCAGCGTTTTTAAGTCTGTGAAGTCAACATAAACAACTTCCAAATTAAACTCCTCTTTTATTTTGTCGAATAATTCTCTTGTGCCTAAGAAAACCAAAGAAAATCACAAAATGAAACAACTTCCTTAACTTTCATTCCCTGCTCTCCAGCCTCCTGCATCATGCACGGACAGTCAGGAGGGCACAGCTTTATGCTGCACACCATCAGTGGCACATTTACACTTTCTTTATTTACCAAGTTTATAGATTGTTGCAGATTGAGTGATCATGACGGTCATAACCGTTTCCAGGACATGCCGGTTCGGATTCCCGAAACGGATGTATTTATACTCCTGGGGTGGGAAAAGGAAACAAACATCAGAGAAAACCCTGGGAAAACTTGGGATAAACGGCTCCGGATGGCCGCCCGCTGCGGGAACACCGAGCCCCACGCTGGGTCAGGCTGGAAGGGACCACAGCGGCTCCTCCGGCCCCATCGCTGCTCAGCAGGGCCATCCCGGAGCCCAGGGCACGGCATCGCGGGCAGGGGCTCTGCCGTGTCCCCGTGAGGAGACTCCGCCGCCTGCCCGGCCGAGAGCCCCGCTCCCGGCCCAGCGAGATGCTCGCGTTTGCCCAGGAGCGGCCACGGGGGGAAAACATCCGCGCCGGGAGCTCCCTCCGTGCCCAGCACCTGCCGCCTCCCGCTGCCCCGGCCCGGACACGCCGGGGCCGCAGCGGGGCTCGGGGGCCCCGTGGTGGCCGCACTCACCTCGTCCTTCCCGGGCACTTGCTGCTTGAAGGTGGTGGAGAGAGTGATGGGCGGCACCACGGCTTTGGAATTCCACTGCTCGGGCTCCTGCCCGAAGTGGATGGCATGGGTGGCGAAGTGCTCGAAGGATGGCAGGAAGCCCGGAGCGTTGCCACCTGCCATGGTCGCAGCTCTGAGGGAGAGGCCCTCAGCGCGGCTGCATTTAGCGTCCTCGCGGGCTCGGCGGGGCGCGGCTTTCGCGCCTTCTCATTGGCTGCCGGCGGGGCGGGGCCCGCCCGCTGGGGGGAGCCCGCCCGCTGCGCGCTGAGGGGCCGCTCCCGGGGAGCCTTCCCGGGATCCAGGGGCGCCTTTCCCGGGAGGAACCGGGAATAACGCGGCAGCACGGGAATGTCCACAGCGCAGCAGTGTGCTGACTGTCTGGCAGGGCCGCCTGCGGTACCTCAGCACCTGGGAATAACCCTAGCGCGGCACAGGCTGGGGGGACCTGCTGGAGCAGCTCTGAGGGAAGGACCTGGGGGTGCTGGGTGCAGTGTGGTGCACAGCAATGCCCAGGCTCTGCTCCAGGGCCCAGCAATGGCACCAGAGGATTTGGACTCGATGGCCTGGGGGGTTTTCCCAACCTTTGGGATCCCGAGAGGAGCAGGAAGTACCTGTGGCACCAAGATGGGTCCTTCATGGTCATCCAAACATGTGGAGATTAAAAACAGTGCAATATTTCACTTTTTTATTCTATTAGAAAATATATATTTTATATATTTATTATATATAAAAGAATAGAGACAATAAATCTGTGTGGGTTTTACCAGACACTTTTATGGATGAATACACTGCTAAAATATCACCTCTACCAGGTCATATTTTATAGGTTATAGCAAACCCTTGTTACCTGAGTGAGGGCCTGGGTGTGCCATGTGGTCAAGGGTGTGGACCTCAGGGAATCAAAAACGCAGCTACGGCTTTGCACAGTAAAAATTAATATTTCTGGTGTTTGCTTCTACAACATAGGATGTAGAAATTGAATGCTGTGTGCAGAGTACACAGCAAAATTGCCTTTTTGTGGTTGGTGTGGTCAGGCTGGTTCACTACATGGAAATTTGTGATGTTGCAACACATTTAAATGTGTTTTCTGCTGGTTGGGAATGAGATATCAAGAGATCTGTGTGGGGACATGGAGAGGGACAAAAATACACTTTTAATGATTATTTTCAATGTACAAATTGCATGTTGCTGCTCAGACAAAATCAGCTGAGTTCAAGGCCTTTATCTTACTCAGGAAAATATCTCCAGAGAAATGTGAGCAGCAGAGCCCCCCTGAGCCCGGGCCAGGTGGGTGTGAGGAGGGTGAGGTGTGTCAGAGCGGGCCCAGGGCTGTGCTCCAGCCCTGCTCCTGCCGTGGCAGCAGCTCCGGGGGCAGGAGCTGCAGGGCCCCTCTGCTCCAGCTGAGCGGTCACTGGAGGGCCAGGGGCTGCTGGCACCTGGCTTCAGCCTCTCCAGAGCAGTCGCTGACAGCACAAGCCACCAGAGGGGACCCCAGAGCCTCCCAGTGTGTCTCAGCCACCCAGCTGGGGCTGCTGCTGTGGGAGAAGGAGCAAACCCTCCCTGCACTGCTCTCCCAGCAGGATCCCACTCCATAAAGACATGGGCTGTTTGTTTGGGAATGCAACCCTCAGCTGTGGCAGCGCCCAAACAGGTCCTGCCCTCCCACAAAACCCCGGCTGTGTCCCACTCCGGCTCACTGGGAGCCAGACCCTGTCTCCTGGATGGGGAACATGGAACTGGAGAGATGTCCAGGCTGGCAAGGGCCTGGCAGGGAAGGACAGCGGGGAATGGCCTTCCACTGCCAGAGAGCATCAAACAGCAGAATTTGCAATCAGCCATTCTTGGTATTGAAGACATCACTGGCCACTGAATGCAATCCTGGAGCAGGAGTTCCTGCTCAGAATACCCACTTTCAGTGGTACAGGGCACTGCAGAGAAAAGAAAAGCTCATTGCTGCCAATCCTCCACATACCTGCCACAAATCCAGGACTTGGCACTTTGGAATAGAGGAATTGAGGTAATTTTGGAATTAAGTTGTTGGAAATTTGTGAGAAACAGAGAATACAGAGAGAAAGCAAGGCCTTGAGAGCATCTCCCCTGGAGAGTCTGTGGGAGGGAAGGAGAAGTGTGGTAGGGAGGAGTCAGATTCATTAGCAGGTGACGACAGGAATTAAGGAAATCAGAATCATTCCCAGATAACAAGAGGAAGGCAGATTGTTATGGAAGACAGATTTATTACCAGGAACTTGAATGAATTAATGGAGTCAGGTAATGAATGAATTAAGGGAGTAACTTGTTGCCAGATAGTTAAGGAATATTACCTGGGAGTTGAAGGAATTAAGAAACCCTCTCTGGCACAGGAAGGTGTCTGAGAGATGGAACAGATTATCAGGTGGGAGGGCTAATTGTGCCAAGGACTGGAGCTGGACTCAGGCCATGGTCTGTGAGAAGGGGAACACACCGTGGTGGCAGTCCTGGGGAGCTGCGAGCTGGCAGTGCCAGCCCAGAGTGGCCACCTGCAGTCAGCTCAGTCTGTGACTCTGATCGTTCCCTCTGAGTTTGTCACTGCTGCTGTCGGAGCCACCCCAGCAGCTCTGGCTGCTCCCTTCACGCTGTCCTGGGCTGTGCAGGGCACAAGCACCTGCTCCAGCCCTGGGTAGGTCACACTGTGCCGTGCAGAGGAACATTTTATTGTTCCCACACTGCATCTGTTCAAACCTCAGCCCCCTGCAGAAGTTAAATTCTTCTGCTGATCGTGTGTCAGGGCATTAGTGATTAATTATTGACGTCCCTTCCACTTTACACACGTGCAGGATGTTGGCTGAACAGAACCAGGTCCTGTCAGAGCCAATTTTTACTGGACCCAAGCTGATGTTGTCCTTCATTGCAGCCTGATAAAACGAAGTCTAGAACTACTCAATACTCTGGTGCTTCCCACAAGTCCCCTCATTTTCCTATGGATGACTACAACACAAAGCACATTCTTTGCCATTATGACTTTGATATTATGCTTGACATCAGAAAAACAAGTTCTGTACTGGGAAATGTACAGTGACCGAGAAGTTCACTCAAATGGGACCTAAGATTTTCCTCATACGGACTCAGAAAATGTTGTCCTTTGAATCCATGTCCTGTTCTCTGCAATTCCCATAAAATACACCTTTAATGATTATTGTCAATGTACAGGGCCAGGGGCTGCTGGCACCTGCCTTCAGCCTCTCCAGAGCAGTGCAGCAGCTCCATGCAGGCACCTCCTTGCTCTGCACAGCCACAGCTTCCACTTTAACAAAACTGGCTTTCAATATTTATAATGTAACCGATGAAACTCAAGTGTGAATAATGATAATTTATCTGGAGAAAAATCCTTGCCCTGTGACAGACATAAACTTACCTGTCCTGAACTGAACATGACAAGCAGGATTTATCAATGAGGTATTTGATGCGTTTGCAGTTCTGTGGGGACAGAGGGAGAAATCCCAGGAGAAATCCCATGTGCAATTCTGTGTTGCAGCTGAGTTTCACTTGTGTCAGGCTGGGCTCCTCCCTGCAGCACCTGGATAAGCTGATGGATCTCATCAAGACAAATATCCCCTTCAGGAGGGCAGTGAGTGCCAGGCTGGCTGCTGTCCGAGGAGCTTTGCTGCAGCTCCCTTTGCCCCCCTGGCAGCAGGGCAGGGCTCCCGGAGCAGGGGGCTCCTGCAGGGATCCGCTGTGGGGAGGGGACACAAATTGCTGCTCGGGGCTGGCTGTGCCCAGCTCAGGGCCAGGGGCACCCACAGCCCGTTCCTGCTCAGGAGAGCCTGGCTGGGCTGGGCTGGGCTGGGCTGGGCTGGGCTGGGCTGGCACTGCGGGGTCCCCCCGGCAGCAGCAGCAGCTCCCTGGCAGCTGCTGAAGGGCTCGGGCTGTCGGACATGAGGAGCTGCCTCTGCTCCTGGCAGGGCTTTGCTCTGCCTGCTGCTTTCTGCTCTGGCTCTGACAGGGAGCAGCCTGGCCCTGGCAGACAAGTTTCCAGAATTCACCTTTTACTGATCCTCTCCTTGCCAAACGCGTTCCTCCCCTCAGGCCCGCGTGCTGGCCGCTGGCTGGCAGCATGGATATTGTCCTGGAGCTTTAGAGATGGCAAACGTGTGGGTTCCAGCTCCAGGGAATCCTTGGGAAAGCTTCGGAGGTGCTTGTCTGAGGAATTAAAGTCATCACCTGGAAAGGACAATATTTACAGTATCCCTCTGCTTCCATTTCACAGCTTCAGTGTAAATCCTTACTTCCACACAAATTTATTATTTACCTTTGTCACTGCAGACCTTGTCTGCTGTTATTTATCATATATATTGTGTGTGATTATATTTCAACTTCAAATTACCACTGGCAGCCACGACCATGCCTTGGCATCTCCCTTTAAGAGAGGGAGGCAGGGACACCTCCCTGTCCCAGGGTGCTCCAAGCCCCATCCAGCCTGGCCTGGAACTCTTTTTGCTGATAGTTACACGCCTGATGAGACACATTTACGTCATTCATAAGCCTGTTGAGATAAAGTTACTTAATTCAACCTGTGACACATTCTAGGGAATTCTTCAGAAGAGGAAGATTTTCTTCCCTCTCAGTGTTTCATAATTCTTGTTGCATTCTTTATTACACTTTGTGCTCAGCAATCCATTTTGCCTGATGGAGCCAGGGTGTCACACGGGCAGGTTCCATGATTTATTGCTGTGCTTCCAGACTTTTTGTCTTGAGCCTCCACCTGTTCCCCAGCTGCTGCTGGAGCACGTGTCTCACTTTGGGAGGGTTGGAGCTGTGCTGTGGAGCTCCAATGCCATTCCTCTGTAATCCCACTGGTTACGTGGGGCTCTGTAATCATCCCTGGTAATCTCCTGCTCCTCTCCTTCGTTCTGGATGTGTGTGCAACCCACAGCAAACTGCAAATGCTGCCTGCTCTGCTCAGCTGGGACATCACAGCAAACTCTGATTTAAGCCCAGGTAGCTCAGAGGTCAAACAGTGCTGAAGTGTGCAGGAGCCAGGGAGCAGTGGCACTGCAGGATCAGGGAATCCTACAGGGCTGGGCTGGGCTGGGAGGGACCCTAAACCCACCTGGTGAGATACGTTTGTTCAGGTGCATCCGCTTTATTTGGGGTAGAATTCTAAA